AGAGAGAGAGAGAGAGAGAGAGAGAGAGAGAGAGAGAGAGAGAGAGATATCCAAGACAACTAAGACTGTTACAAAGAAACTCTGTCTCAAAAAAGCCAATAGATAGATTAGATAGATAGATGATAGATAGATAGATAGATAGATAGATAGATAGATAGATAGATAGATAGATAACAACAAATGTATGGATTGGGAGTGGTTACAGTAGAAGAAATGGGGCCTAAAAGGGTTGGAATGATTAGACTGATGGCAACAGGTACCGGACAGAAAGGGGGGGGAGTGTGTGTATGCATGTGTGTTACCCCGTGAATGGAATAAAATGTCCTTTTCATGGAGTACATAAACAGCAAGGAAGTATTAATGACTTTCTAATCAGCTAATTACAGCTATGGTTTACCTAGTCCATGCTACCCTCATCACAACTCAGGCCTTGCAGGTCTCAACCACTTTCTTCCTGTCCACCATTGCTTCTGCTCCTGTCCCTTCTTCCCACAGCATGAAATAGTGATTCTGATCATCGGTTGGATAGAACACGTTTCTGATGGATGTTTCGTATTTTGATTGTGGTGTTAGTTTAATGGGCATTTACATTTGTGGAAACCAGTCAGAGTATACACTTTAAAAACTTGCAGCTTATTGTAAATTAGACCTCAAGAACACTTAAAAAAATTAAGGCACGGGCCTGTAATCCCAACACTTGTGAGGTAGAGGCAGGGGAATCAGGAGTTCAGGGTCATCCTAAGCTACACAGCAATTTTGAAGCCATCCTGAGCTACATAAAACAGTCTCAACAAAAACAAGCAATAAGTAAATCATAAAATTTAGAGAATCAGATTGTTGAGCCAAATGTGGTGGCACACCTTCAATTCCAGTGCTCAAGGTAGAGGCGGGTGGATTTCTGAGAGAGGCCAGCCAGGGCACACAGAGAGACTCTGGAAAAAAACTGAAAACTAAAATAAAAAATTAGATCATGTTCTTTCCTTTTTCTTTTTTTTTAAAGATATTTTAGCACTGGGGTTACAGCTCTGTAGTGAGGACTTGTCCCAGGCTTTGGTCATCCCTAGGAACACACACACACACATGCACACATGCACACATGCACACACAACTTAACAAACCCAGGGACTGGATGTTATCTCTGATGTTAGGAGTATTGACTGCTCTTTCAGAGGACTTGGGTTCACTTCCCAGCTCCCACAAAATGGTTTACAACAACCTGTCACTCCAGCTGCAGACCCCATGCCCTAGTGTGGCCTCCACAGCCATTATACCGTGTTTGTGGTGCACATATATACAGGAGGCAAAACATTCATGCACATAAAATAAATTTCAAAAACACAAAAAAGCCCCAAACTTGATATTTCCCTTTTCATTCAGAATAGAAGTCTAACACCTTGTGTGGTTTCCCCAGCCACATTAAGCTCCTCACTGCCTATTCCATAAAAACACCAAAATGGGGTCTGCTGATACCCTGGCCATGCATGCTTCCTCCCTCATTTAGGTCTCTTTGAGGCTTCTGGGTTCCAACCGCACAAACAAACTATTCATTTAACGTCCTTGCTTTTTTTTTCCCCTCTTCTTACCATATTTTAGCACTGTTAGTATTGGTCTTGTTTTTTTTTTGAGTTGATCTCACTACGTAGCCCTGGCTGCCTGGAATTTACTAGATAGATCAAACTTGGCTTTAATCTCACAGAGATTCACTTGCCTTTCTCTGCCTTTCAAGTGCTGGAATTAAAGGCAAGTTCCACCATACCAGGTTCTGGATCTTTTTTCTATAGATAGGTAGATAGATAGAAAGCAAGCTTGGGGCCCGAGGATGGCTCAGTGGTTGAGAGTGTTTCCTGCTCTTTGAGAGGACTCAGGTTGGGGGTTTCAGTTCCCAAGTCAAGCTGCTCACAACCTGTAACTCCAGTTCCAGGGGATCTGATGTCCTCTTCTGATTTCCACGGGCTCTTGAGTGCATGCGGCACATGTAAACTTACACAGGCAAACATGTATACCCATAAATTAAACAAATCTTTTTAAAATGTAATGTAATTTGCATATGTGCATGTGCACACTATAGTGAGCACACATGTATGTGCATGCATGTATATGTGTAGGCCAGAGAACAAACTCCGGTGTTCTTAGGATCCTGAGGAGAGAGAGGATCCTTGAGAATAAGGTTACACTGACTAGACAACAAGGCCTGTGACACTCCTGCCACTACCTCCCCAGTGCTCCCCAATACCCAGCTTTTCACAGGGATGCTGGGGACTCCACTCAGATCTGAACATCTGCAAGCAAGCTCTTTATTGCCTGAGCCTTTTCCTGAGCCCCTCTCTTTTATTTTATCCTTCCTTCCTTTCTGAAACACTCATGGTATTATTCCAGCTGACCTCAAATTTGTGATCCTCCAGCTTTGGCCTCCTAAAGTAGCTAGAATTATGGGCATGCACCACCATCTCTCTCTCTCTCTCTCTCTCTCTCTCTCTCTCTCTGTGTGTGTGTGTGTGTGTGTGTGTGTGTGTATTCTACTATATCGCCTTATACAGTATATAGGTAGATATATATTATTAGTTTATAGTATTTTTCTAGTTTTTAATCTGCCTTTTGTATTAGAATGTAAATTTTCAGAGCTAGGTACCTCCTTCCCTCTGCTATTCATATCTATATCTACAGATCTGAGCACATAGTGGGTGTCAAAATATTCTGCATGGTGGCTGGAGGGACAGCTCAGCAATTAAGAGCACTCACTGCTCTTGCAGAGGACATGAGTTCATTTCCCAGCACCCATGCTGGGCAGGTGGCTGACAACTACCTGTAACTCTAGTTTCAGGGGGATCCAACTTCTGGCCTCTAAGGGCTCCTGCACATATTGTAGTGCATATAAAGTCAAAGAGGCAAACACACGTGGCTATAAAATTTAAAGAAAACTTTTAGAAATATTCTGAATGAACAAATGAAAGAATGAAGGTGACGGTGACAGCTTAGAGTAAGGGTTTAGCAATGGAAAGTAAAGACTGTACTGGAAACGAAACACATCTGTAATCCTAGCACCCAGAAGCAGGAAGATCAGCGTTCAAAGGCAGCTGTGTCTACAATAGCAAATTCATAGCCTGAGCTACAGAAGATTGTCCAAAGGAGGAGGAGGCTCCATGTTAAACTTTAAAGGAAAGTATGGCAGAAGGAAGCAGCTTGGGACCTGACTGGGTAGGCCTGGGTAAGTAAGAGGCTGAATAAGCATCTTGAGGAGTGAGCATTTCCTCCAGCCTGTTGGATTTAAGGTGGTTTCAAGGACTTAAGGTGGAGTTGGCCGGAAAGCTAGAACGGAAGTGAGACTGGAGAGATGAGGCTCAAATGGCAGATGTCAGTGCTGTCTGGGTAGTGTGGGAATTGAGGCCACTGGAATGGATGAAACCTAAATAGAGATAAAAGCTAAATTCAGTCCCCTGAAGTCCTCTCTGCAGTAGAAGATGCAGTGCCAGTGGAGGACGGCTATATGCAGTAACAATGGAAGCCCATGTTACAGAATTCGAGAGAAGCATAATAAAGCAGGGCTGGGGATGCAGCTCAGTGGTGGGGCACTTGCCTAGATGCATGGGCCCCAGGCTCAATTCCCAGTGCTCAAAACAAAACCAGAAATAAAAAGCAAAAGAAACTGAAATAGAAGCTAAAGGAAAGGACATCTCAAGGATTGATGAGATGGTCCAGGAGGTGAAGGTGATTGCTTCCAAGCCTGATGACCTGAGTTTAACCCCTGGGACCCACATGGTGGGGGACAACAGAGGTAGTCCCCTGACCTCCACACTCATACTGTGGTACATCTGCACACACACACACACACACACACACACACACACACACACACACACAAAATGGCGGGAGGCAACAGAGGTAGTTCTCTGACCTCCACACTCATACTATGGTACATCTGCGCGCACACACACACACACACACACACACACAGAGAGAGAGAGAGAGAGAGAGAGAGAGAGAGAGAGAGAGAGAGAGAGAGGGAGGGAGGGAGAACTAAAAATAAAGAAATGTAATCTTATTTTTTTAAAGAAAAATTAAGAAAAAAGAAAATTTAAGAAATAATTGGTTGCAAGGTGTTCCTCAGAAGGCAGAGGCAGGGAGATTCTTGTGAGTTTGAGGCCAGTCTGGTCTACAGAATGAGTTCCAGGCCAGCCAGAGCTACATAGTGAAACCTGCACCCCCCTGCCACACACACACACCGTGCAATAAAAAAGAAGTGGTGTAGAAAAACCAGTCTCCTCTGTATTAACACAGGATAGCTGAGAAGGACAGAAATGTAGACATAACATGGGCATAACAAGGGAAAGAGAAGATTTAAAAATTCACTTGACAAGTCAGGGAAAGACAGTCCAAATGAGAAAACAGCTATACCAGAAGGACTAAACTGATGACAGACGTGGTGGCATAAGAGATAGGACCACCTTGAAGAACAGCTAACACTAGGGAGAAGGGGAAGGGAAGGAGCTGAGGTGGGGCACTCAGCTTCTCCAAGGGAATCAGCATGACAGGGCAGGCCTATAAACTCAGGGGCTGGAAGGTCAGGAGGAAAAGTAGGGGGATGGAGAATTTAAGACCAGTGTGGGCTACATAGCAAGACACAACCTCAAATATTAAAAAAAAGAAGAAGAAGAAGAAGGGGGCAGGGGAGAAAGGAAAGAAAAACACATGTGGGGGTGTGCCACAAATGCATATGGAAGGACAGGAGGAAGCGCTCACCTAGAACCTCCATCTTTAACTTGAACTAGAAGGAACCATTCAAGCAGAGGTTAAGGCAAGAAGAGAAACTCCTAGGTGGGGCTGGCAAAACTGGATGACCTCGGCCCTTACCGTCAGGTACTAGACAATTTCCTCATTAGCTCCCAGATGAGTATGTACTACCGATTGTGACCGTTCTCCCCGAAAGGTCACCAGTGGGTGATTGCCACCTGCGCAGACCTCAAAAAGTGAAAGCCAGGTCTTCACCACCTTGCCTGTTTCTATGACGCTGACTCGCTCTTGGACGAGTTCAGAAGGATTTATTCAGTTTGGTGAGAGACACAGGTACTTCCCTCCTTGAAACTCACCCTCCTGAGCACACCTGCAAACCCCTGCAAGAGACTGCCTTTCTAGGCCGGGTGCCTAGACTCCCATGGAGCAGAAGGCTTTGCTTGGGGCTTCATGTTAGGAGCATCCTCTGCCCGAAGCTCAGAACAGGGAGGGTCCTGTGGAAGGTAGGAGAAGTGATAGTGTGTTCTCTAGGGACACACATAAAAAGCACCAAAGTCAAATTGCCGCCCCCCGCCCCGCACACCCTCTGTGGCCAGTGCGGTGGGTGGAAGGAATAGCTGAGAAGGATAGAGGTGGCCAAGGTGGGAGAGGGCTCTCTCAGTACTGATGCCATCTCAGTACTGATGATGTCGTAACTACCCTCCGTCGCCCCTCCCCCCGCCCTCGAGGGCTTCTGAGAACACTGGAAAGGAGGGCCCACTTTTATCTACTTTTATGTTCCTGTCCAGATGCCCAAATATCCTGGTTCCCAGGAGAGAAAAGACCCCTTCACCCTGCCCCAGGCGCCAGGCTGCCAGTCCATCTGCTGGGAGAAAGGAGGGGCGCCTATCCCTGGGGGATCCTGGGGAAACAACTAGAACTAGTATAGGGAGGCCTATACTTGCTAGACACTTCGCTTCACGCGGGAAAGCCGCAGGGTGGAGCAGAGCTCTGAGGTGGGCAGGGGTGAGGGTCCAGGCTTGGCAGAGCGGGGCGGGGTCTTCTAGCCAGGATGTATCCAAGGCAAGCTGAGCAGCTCCTCCGTGCCCACCCGCTGCCCCCCTCCCCGGGCCCAGTCTCACCGGCTCGGAGGCGCCAGGGCCCCCCCTAGGGCCGGGGCGGGCTGGGGAAGGTAATGTAATTCCGGCCCAGCTAACCCGATTATGGCGGCCTGCACCGGGCAGGGTGGCGGCGGGGGCGTGTCTTCGACTTAGGGGCCCGCCCGGCAGGGGTCCCATCCAAGAGAGGGACACGGAGGTCACACACTCTCAGCTCCTGGGTCCGCGCCCAGGGGTCACAAGGTCACCGAGCCGCTTCATCCTTCCCCCACTCTCCTTGGCTGGCACGCTCCGGGCCCGTTTTCTGAGCCTTGGGTGGGGAGAAGTGTCTGTAGGATGCGGAGCGGGGAGCCTCCCAAGGCCTAAGCGAGTCCCCAAGTGCCGCCCTTTCGCCTTAGAGAAGGGAGGAGAGTGTGTGAGGATAGATTTCCGAGATGCAAAATAGAGGAGTGGAATCCCGCGGTGGAGGCCCGGGTTGGTCCATTTGAGACCCGGGTCCGATTTACAGCAATTTCAGAAAATCGAAATTCAAAGAAACAGGGCACCGATTCCTGGCCAGGACCAGGGTGAAGAGTGCTACAGGAAAAGCCAGGAGGTGTGCCACAACCCCAAGTTCAGATGTTCGTTCCCTGCCCGAGCCCACCAAATACGCCCTGTCACCGTCTGCTTCCCACACCTGGCCTCTTCCTGGGACTCCAGGTCGCGGATCGCCGTCCCCCAGCCGCTTCTTACATAGCCAGGAAGCCACAACGAGATTTGGTCTCAGAGGGCATTTGGGTAGGGGCCACAACGAATCCAGTAGCTGGCCAGCGGCACCCATCGGGAGGCGAAGAGTGGGGGCTGGGGACAGAAGCACCAGTCGAGGAACCCGGGAGGTCGAGGCAGCCCGAAGGCGGAGGCCGGCAAGGATGCGGGCGCGCGAGCATCCCGGCTGAGTCAGCGGCCCCTCCCGCGCACCGCGCCTTCCTGACACCCGCGCCCTCCTCTGCCCTGCCTGCGCCTGGCACATCCAACCATCCCTTTCCCTTTAACAACAGGGCCCCGCCCCTGCCCTCCCTCAGCCCCTTCTGCCCACCCGAGGCCGATCTGTCAGTCACTGCCCCTGCCTGAGCTGGCCACCCTTCTCCACACCGGACTCGGGCAGCGGCCTGGGCAGCCTAGTGTCCACCTGCGCTCCCGAGACCCCCGCCCGCCACGCTCCTCCGGGATGCGAGTCCCTGCGCAGACGCCCGGGAGGGGCGGGGACACGCGCGGCTGCGCCCGGTGCACAGAGATGTTGCTGTCCCGGGGGCCCCGTCGCCCGGTCGTGGCCACCCCTGCCGGCCCCT